ACATATAAGTCTAACCATTGTTTATCTTCAAAAATCCTTTCAGGCTCCGCCCCAGTGGCTCTGGAATACCCCATTTTAACCTTATTAGTATTCAAATTTAAAAGGAATTAAAGAATTTTGACAGCTGTCTCAACTAGGCAAGTTGGTTCTATGATATTCAATAGCATTAACAAGTTCTAATGTGACTAAAACTATTAAACCCAATAAGTAGATTGAAAAACTCTTGAGCAAAAGTGATTTAAAACAAGAGGGTCATGTTGTTTTCGGGAGTGTTTTAAACAACCCCACATAAAACCTCATTCAAAATTGACCACCAGATGTTGGTAGAGTATATACCTACAGAGTGTCTTCCAATGTAAGTATAAAAATTTAAACCAAAATCAAGAATATGATTTTTCCAAAAAAACCTTGTCGGCGATATACCAGCCATTTTTGTATTTACAATTTATGTCTTTAAACCCGTTAAAGATATCATTATGGATTTTAGTACAGGTAAAATAGGCATGTAAAACAAAAAAATTGGTCCGTTGATGAAACTTGGTGAAAACTTTCCTTTTGTCATAAGAATTAAGAATCTAAAAAAAAGTCCATAAAAAAATTTTAGGTGGAAGGGTGTTTATCGGGGGGGGGGGGGGGAATATCAGTTTGAAAAAACAGAAAATTAAATTTTAACGAAATATAGGCATGTGACCCATGTTTTTGGGGTTATTTTTTATGCTGAATCGAATAAAAATAAGATCCAGACGATATAACCTCCATATAAAGAGTTATTGTCTTGATTACCTCGTATATTCAATAATTTTCCCAATTAGTACTGGTAAGATGGTACAAAAACACTATATACAGTAGTGTAAAAATTTTGGTCCGTTGATGAATCAGGATGGAAACCTTTCTTTTTCCATAAGAATAAAGAATTAAAATAGTCCATAAAAATACCCCTGCCACAGCAAGCCAGCAGACTAAGCGAATTTCCATTTACCTCATTGGATTTTCAATTAAATCTATTTAACTTTTAAATAACATTAGTTTTAACGAGTACCTAGGTTTGCTGCTACAGGGAGGGTAATAAAGTGTGTTTTTTTAGTAAAATGTGAATCGCTTAGTTTAAAGTAAATACGTTTGCCAAGTTTGATGGAAATATATCCATAAACAAGCAAACTACAACAGTTTACTTATACTCGTTAAGAATAAAATAGGATTTTAAAATTTATAATTTATTGAATTTTCTCCATAACCGGTAACTGTAAAAAACCACTTAAACATACTACATCATTTGTTTTCCACTATATTAAAAGGTTTAAAGAGAAATTGAGGAATTTTATGCTTTGAGGGTTAAAAATTAGAAAAACAAATTTTGACCTCATAAACGCCTCCATAACACCCTGTTTCCACGGTCCAATCATGCTGGTTCGCCAACTCATTCAAGTTTATTCCAACCTACACCTTCAAGCTAAATTTCATCAAAATCGGAACAAAATAACTCAGTTTATCGTGTCCATGAACGTGTATATATATACTGTATATATGTATATAAATTTGAACGAAGGGTGTTGTTTTGTGGTTATTACTATTAAAATTACACCTGGGAAACTTGTATACCTACCCTTTTTCTCCAAAACCCACAGCTGTAAAAGAAAGTACTTAAGAATAAAGAATAAAGATTATAAAGATCTTAAAATTACACGCTCTATTGTTATCTGTCATAAAAATATTGGGTTTTCCTGTGCTAGTTCTAGATTTTCACCATAATAAATGGCGATGGTAAAATATACTGCAGTAAGTATGCCCACCACTAAGTATTAATATAAGTATAAGCAAACAGTTTAGGCGATAATGAATATATTGTAATGATACAAAGATTAAAGAAAAAAACTTATGGTTAATCATTTGACTATAAGAAAAATAAAAAATAAAGAAAAAATAGTATAATAAGGTTTATACTAATTATCTTCTCCACAAAAATGGTTTGCCTTCATACAAGTCTTTTGGTAAATGAGTTTGGTTCCTTCTCTTCTACTTCCGCATTCAGACTTGTAAGGCTTTCACACACCTTGTAGGTGTGTACATGTGATTACACTCTCCTTGAAGCTGCACTGTTTTGTTAAACAATTGCCTTTGCATGTACATGACACCAACTTCAGAATATTTTCTGGGGTTACATCTTATGTCATATTATTTGGTAGCAACAAATTTCCATCCTGTCGTGTCCAACCCCTCTGTTTAGGCACTAATTTATTACCAAACCATAGCTGAACTTTATTACACTACATCTATATGATTTAACATTACATCCGACGAGGGTAGCAGCGATTCCAGTTTTGAACTAGCCTTTTTCAAAGACTATTGAAATAGTCTGTATAGAACTTGCAATTCAATGTAGAGAATATTTACAATTTTTACTCCCCATACATCGAAAAATAAAGTTTCTCCAGCTTCATTCACTTCAATTTCTGTTGAACCTTTTGAGTTGAAAGTTGATATGACTTTCTCCATAGCAGCCTCAGATTCCAGTATTTTAAGGATCTTTTTTTTACCTTTCCCAAATATAACACTAGTGCTGTCACAATCACTAAATGGATGGCCCAGCAATACGTAGTTGTGGATGTTTAAATACTACTGTTGTAGAGAAGTCGGTGAAAAAAATTACGTCCGTGGACGATTTTTTGTCCGATTTTGATTAAATTCGGTTGAAGGAGTAGGGCGGAATAAACTTGAATGAGTTCGCGAACCACCATGATCGGACCTTGGGAACCGGGTGTTATGAGTGCTTTTATGGGGTAAAAATTGCCTTTTCTCAAAACAATTGGTTTGGGGACTTGCAAAACATAAAATTCCTCAATTTATCTTTTCACCCTTTAATATAGTTTACATTTTAAAAACAAATAATATAGTATATTTAAGTGTGTTTATAAGGTTATTGGTTAAGGAAGAAAATTCAATAAATGGTAAATTTAAATTTCCTATGTTATTCTTAAAGATAATAAGTAAACTGTTGTAGTTTGCTTGTTTATATATTTCCGTCAAACTTGGAAAAAGTATTTACTAAGCTAATTAACTATAAACTAACTAATAAACTAAGGTATTAACATTTTACTAAAAACAAAATATATTACCCTCCCTGTAGCAGCAAACCTAGGTATTTGTTAAAAATAGTGCTAAAGGTATTTAAAAATTACCTAGATTTAATTGAAAATCCAATCAGATACCGGTATGCCTAAATGGAAATTCGCTCAGTCTGTAGGTTTGCTAAAGCGGGGGTATTTTTATGGATTATTTTGATCCATTATTCTTATGGAAAAAGAAAGGTTTTCACCCTGATCCATCAACGGACCAACTTTGTTATACTATGGTGTTTTTTGTACCATCTTACCTGTACTAATTGGGAAAATTATTGAATATCAGAGGTAATCAAAACAAAAACTCTTTATATGGAGGTTATATCGTCTAGATCTTATTTTTTTGTTCAGCATCAAAAATAACCCCAAAACATGGGTCACTTGCCTATATTTCGTCAAAATATAATTTTCAGATTTTCAAACTGATGTTTCCCCACCCCCCCAAAAACACCCTTCGACCTAAAATATTTTTATGGACTCTTTAGATTCTTAATTCTTATGACAAAAGGAAAGTTTTCACCAAGTTTCATCAACGGACCAATTTTTTTGTTATTGGAGGCGTTTTTGGTATTATTTTACCTGTACTATTTTGGTATAGGTTAGTTACCATTTAAAATGCCAGTAGCAATAAACTGTTTATGAAAAACAAAAAAGTCATTAAATGACATTTTGCCTCAAAATATCAGCCATTTTAGTTTTCCATGTTTTCATAATCAAATAAAAGTACCTTTTAAAAGTGGCTGATTTTATGAAAAAATCTCACGACCACTTTCATTTAGCTTTTAAAATGTCCTATGAAATGACAAAGTTAAAAAACAATGGAGTAATAACTAGCTGAAAATCACAATTTTTACTATTTTTAGTTGTAGACTTACAGGCCAAGCTCTCAGGGTGCACACCCTGTATAGGTAACTGGATTGAGGACTTGAGTTGACTGGAAATGCAGGGTTTTCCTAAATTAATGGTGCGGTTTTAAACGTAAATCAAAATATTACTTAGTTAACATTTTAATCCTCATAAAAAAGCGTTTTCGTGTACATTCAATCAGTTTCTACATGCCCGCCATCGAATGCTCTGCAGAGATCTAAACAACGGTCGTTCTCGGCTCATATATATGCTGTGCAGCATGGCTATTGTTACCGATGTTACTGCTTTATAAATCCTTTCCTTTAAATTAGCATCACAAATCACAATGCACAATGTTTTTGACGTATCCCCATAAGAAAAAATCATAAGCAGTTAAATCTGGACTTAAGCCAAAACTGTCTTTGTTTTCAATTGAAATTTGATACAGGGGGCTCCCGAAAGTCTTGGTCACGTTTAAAGCATTCGAAACTGCACCATTCGAAAACCCTGTACAGGAGGGGAAGTGGAATGGTCATGTGGACCAATCAGATGCCTTTTTGTATTGGACGATCTGGTGAAACATGAGGTGATCTGTCATGCGTTTACATTATCTAGTACAACATAGCTAATTAATTTGATTGGTTTTTTAGCACACATACTCAACAACTTAGTGGGCATTGTCATTCGTAGTTGTCATTAGATTGATATTAAATTGTTAAGTAAAATTCCACAGTTAGGTTGGGCTGGGCTGTGATAAAGAGTTCACACTCTTATACATTATACTCCAACAACCAATCAGTGATGCATTTTTTATTGAATAATAAAAATAATAATTAAAGGAGAAACAAATTATAATTATAATGGAACATATTACCGGTACATTTTGAAATATGAGAATTTATCATATTCGCTTAGTAAGCAGTAATTTCTTTAACTATTTGCGGCACATTTTAAACTCGTGATTATAAAATATTTTTTATTACTGTCTTACGTTTAAGGATGATTTATAAGATTGGTATTGGGGAAGAAAAACAAAACTTATCTAAAAAAGTTTTATTTAACATAACACCATTGCAAAAATATTGAACAATTCTTAAAGACTATGAAGTTTTAAAAATATTAAAATTAATGTGACTGGCTACATGTAGTTATTATACCTCATTAAAATCTAAAATGGATCAAATCAGCAAAAAATACTTTTGAATATACAGAGAATAAAATATAAACACTATAATTTATCATACATACATATTAACAAGCACATGTCACAGTATAATATTTTAACAAGGGTTGAAAATTATGCTTTGTTGAATAACACTATGAATTCAACTAATAGGAGATGTCTAGTTGGCCTTAAATGTGTTTTTTTATGTTATGAATAGTTATTTGTGTAACTAGTGAGCAATTGCCTCACTCGAGTTGCACATTATATTTTTCCAACAGTTACCATAAACATAAAACAAATAAATTGGTAAAGAAAACAGAAGTGAACTTTTAATATGACATTTTAATGATACAACAGTATAACAGCTGACCAGCTGATTTACAGCCAGTGCGTTGCAAATCTGGAGTGAGACAATGTTAACATTGTCTCACTGATGAGCGAATTGGACACTTTGCTTTCTCAAATCAGTGAGAGAACATGTACATTGTTAGGCAACTGTAGGAAAATGTTGTTTTTAGTGCAGCATGTACACAGTTTTCCACACTCTCAAAGACCTGTGTCAAACAACTTCATAGGTTGTCATGTTCATGAGTTGGATTTATTCTGCTTATATTTTGACATCATTACCATGTTTTTACTCGGAAAATTAAATTTGCTAAACATAATGCGTTAAAACAATATTTTTATAAATTGGAAAAGAGGATTTTATCACAAATAAAAGGGTAAAATATTCTTGAGATACACTACAAAACAAGCAATTTTGTTTCAAGAATAGGGTCAACCATAATCTCATGAAAGTCTATGCCTATCTTTTGACAATTAAATAAAAAAATCTACAGTCACAAAAATAGGTTATAAAAATAGTATGTGATTCACATTTAAAAGGATAGCATTCAATAAAACCTACCTAATCATTTATGGTAAATTAGGACATGCCAACACATATATAACAAATACATATATCTATCTCATCTATAAATATGGTTAAAAGTTAAAACAATACATTTTACATTAAAATATAACAATTAAAATGACAGGTTAAAAAGACATGGATATGTATATCCATGCGTTATTAAGAACCATCGATAACTCTTATTGGTTCGTGGGTCAAATAAAAATGATACACAACATAAAGGAATGTGTACCTGTCACAGCCTTAATGTGCTTAAAGTATGATTACAAAATACACATCTCATTAAGATGTTTCGTCAAAGTTTTTGTGCGGATTTGTGCACAAATTTTTATATGTATTTTATGTTGTTGAGTTTGGGGTCAGGAAAGGTGGTTTGCTTTTACAAAGTAGGAGTAACACTATCTTAGTGTTATAGGTTGTGAGGGTATCCAGCACAAACTTTGGCGTTGATTTGCAGATCACTTAATTCTGCCTCTAAACCTAGTGTGTGTTTCATATCAGCTGATTCTCTATCAAAGTAACGAGGAGCGAAAGGTTGCCGAGGCATAGGGGCAAAGGTGGGTGGGTCAGAGGTGGAATGGCCCCAGATGCGCTGTTCGGTGGGGCCTAGCATTCCTGGCACTTGAGGGAGGCCCATTGGTGGACGTGGGCGCACCATTTGGACATAAGGTCTCGGAATGCTATCTGCAACCCAAGGCGATTGTTGGTTTGGGGCTGCAATCCTAAACGGCAATCCAGAAAATGGTTGGGGTTGGACCAACGGATTGAATCCTGGAGGAGGTGGTATCCCTCCTCTCACAGTTTCTGGTAGGATCTGGAAACGTGGAATTGGAAACGAAACAGAATTTACTGTCGCGGGTATTAAATCAGGGTTCAAAGAAGAATTGCTGAAAATTCTGGTAGGAATATGAGCAGTATTCACGCTGTTTTGCTTTACTGTGTTAGCCAAATCGCTATTGGAGGTATTAGGAGATGCAGATCCATTAGAATTCATGGGAGCTACTTGTGGATTTGGAGTCCTAGGAATGGAAATAGGAGTTTTAGGATGGGTTGAAAAAGAACTCTGAGAACCTGATGAACCATTCTGATCTTGAATCTTGGATGCTGGTTCGGGTTTTTGCTTAAACCCTGAGTTTGGTCGTGCTTTGTTATTCGGAGGGGGTTTAGATTGCTTAGCTCTGTTACTGTTGCCATTATTATCTCTGTTCTGTTTGAACTGAGGTTGATTAACAACTTTTTTGGGGGTTTCTCTTTGACTCGTGTTGTCTTCTTGATCGGAGCTCTCATTGTCAGAATCGCTAAAATCTTCATCTTCACTAATAGGAGCTTTCTTTGAAGGTGATTCATCATTTCGAGGTTTGTTTAGGGATTTTGCACCCTTTTTCCCTTTCTTCTTTCTTTTTTGTGGACATTCTCGTTCTTTGTGGCCAATAGATTTGCACACCCTGCAACCCCGGTCGTTGGGGGGTTCTCCATCAGTTAACTCTCGTACATTCATGAAATAGGCCTGAAAAAATGATTATAATTGACGTACAGGTTTAGTAAATAATTACAGTTAAGTTGTACTTCATCTTATAGTTTATCAGTAGTATGATGTTATAGATAAAATAGTTTAATTTTAAGGAATTTGATGCAAAAATAAATTTACTTGAATATTTTATTTTTTAAGAATATGTATCGTAACAATTGTTAAAAACCCTAACATGTTATTTAGGGTTCAAATTCACACAAGACTTTTAATGAAAGGGATGTAGAAAGTCCCTTAATCTCAACCAGTGTTAATTAATGAATTATTGAATTTAGTAAGTTGAATCAGAATTCAGTACTTAACTTTTAAAAGTAATGGAAATGTACAATGGCAGAATTTCATCAGTATTACAACCACTTTGAATTGTACCAAATTCAAAACCATGTTAATTAAGAAACACATCATAGTGTTTATACTAAGTCAACACAGTAATACAACAACACAAGAATAATGACAAACAAAATCAATTTTTACTGTATTGCACTGTTCTATGAAAACCAACAATGGATAAATAGATAGAAAACACAGTTCACACGCAAAAAAGACTTATTTGGTGCAATTAAACTGTGGAACGCCTCACTAGCTCAAACAGGATTTTAGGCAGACTGTCACATATTTTCAAAAACTATGTAGGGTTACTTGTAAAAGCCATTTTACATATAAAACTGTAATCTGGAGAAACAGGTTTTTGATGAATATTTGATATTTTTACTTCACTTTAAACACATAACACTCTTAATTAAATAATCTTAATTAATTGTACCATAAGAAGTGAAATATGTCATACCTCAATTGTCTTGGAGTCTCTCATTTGAATCTTTACAGGTCTTGCAAAATGATTTCGTCCCTTTCTCAAGGCTTTAATGATGTACAGCGACACTAAAAATAGAACAAAACAAAATGTGTAAACTTCCTAGTACAGTAACTAAATACAATTAATTATTTATAATTCAGTACAAGGCTAATGTGAATTTATTAAAAATAAATTAATTGTAGGGGCAAATTTTGTTTCTTGATTGAGCCTCAAACATAAAATAGTAAATTACATCGAAAAGGTCCAAGTGACTAATATCAACACAAACTTGAGCTAAAAGAATGAGGCGAAGCCGAGATTAGAAAATTAGTGAGGGTCAAAAAGATGATTCCGGCCAGTGTAATAAACCATTTTTTACTATAGGTATACTATACTATACTATTAGGTAACTAATTACAGTAGAGTCCCGTTAGTGCGAAATTGTTGGGACCGGATCCATTTCCGATTAAGCGTATTTTTTTTTATTTACAAAAATATTTTAAATTTTTTTGTTTTAGGAAGCTAGGCACGAGCCCGGGATTGTTTTTCACATTACTTTATGCTAGACCTGGGGGCTGCAGAATTATCACTTAAATAAAATCCATTTGTAATTTGGCGGGATTGGAACCCAGGACAAAAATGAAAAATGTTAATAAAAAAAATGGCAAAATATTTACTAAAATACTCTCTAAAACAAGTCTATCTCGCCCGGCCGTTACAGAATACTTTGAAGAGGTACAGCTAACTCCGTTAAATGTTAAATAAAACAAATTTAAAAAAATTAAAAATATTTTTTCGTTTCGGATTAAGCGGACTTTCGGATTACCGAAGTTCGGATTATCGGAACTCCACTGTACCACAAAAATATTTGGTTTATCTTTATTTGTTCTACCATTACTGGTTGCCATAAAAAATATAGCTTCCATCTGATTTTGCTATTGTAAAAAGCAGCTTTTACCATGGTATTCAGCTATTTTGTCTATCTGAATAAGTTTACAGTAGATTGACCGTAACTATTGACATGATCTAGCTGACAACAGTGGGCACTGGGCACAACACATCGCAGGGGTGGTAGCATACTCCTGGACTCATATTACCATGATAACACTAAATAGATGTTTGTTTATACATTCTGTTTTTATGTTTGTGCTGTGTGTTTTATTTATTTGTTGGACAAAGCTGCAAGGTTTAAAAATGTTGTCTTCATGAAACATGTAAGCCAATTCAACTGAATAATCGTTGGACTATTTTGACAGGTAAAGGTATTTTGTCTTTACAAAATATTTCATGGGCCAGAAATATGAATTTGGACAAAAATTAGCAATCATAACTACTCTTGATACAGTCATTTATTAACAATATAATTTTGCAAGTAAAAAATGAACATCTGACACATCCACTGCGGATCCATCACTCGTCAAAGAGCCGTTTGGAAATTATAGTTACAATGCGAGGTAAGCCACTGACGTAAGACTTTCTTTCGCTTGCCGCTTATTGAGCCAGTGTTATACAGAGTGCGGCAAAAAAACTATCCATTTTCTGCAGAGCATAGTTCAGCGACAGGTCGTTTGAGGGTGGTGGGGGTAGCCTCGTTGGAAGGCCTACACGATGCCATTATTTGTAATCATAGAGTAGTCGTCACCTGAGCAATGCGCGTTATAGAGTTGTTTAAAAAAAGTTATGATTCAGTCATTGCAACTCAGCGGCATTTCCATGCATTCTTTAAATCAGGTTTACATTAGGGATAGATGGATCCCGAAATTTCGGGAAATTTTCGGAAAAAAAATATTCCCGATTTTCGGGACGGGATTACATTTTATTCGGGAATTTTTGGGGACGGGATTTGGTCTGATTGTCGGCGATGTTGCCGCTTCGCGAGTGACGATGACCAGGTCACTAGCCGCTATTGCGAGAGATGTTCACGATAGTTCCGTGAACACACGTGACCGTGCCGTGACCACGAGTCATACCGACGATCATGCCGCGACCCCGAGCCGATGATCTTGCCGTGACCGTGAGTCATACAGACGGTCGTGCTATGACCGCGAGTCATACCGACGATCCCGCAAGTCATACCGAAACGTGCCATCACCGCGGAGTCATACCGACGATTCTGCAGAGACCACAAGTCATACCGACGATCCCGCAGAGACCGTGAGTCATACCAACGATCACCCCGTGACCGCAGAGTCATACTGATGATTGCTCCGTGACCGCGGAGTAATACCGACGTTCGCGCCGTGACCGCGGATTCATACCAAAGATCACCCCGTGACCGCGGAGTCATACTGACGATAATGCCGCGACCGTGAGTCATACCAACGATCATGCCGTGACCGCGAGTCATACCGACGATAATGCCGCGACCGTGAGTCATACCGACGATCATGCTCATACATCATATTCTGCTGCAACATCTACAAGTGAAGTCATCAACACAGGACCTTCCCGCTATGCAACAGAAGATATTCACACCATCACTGCCTGCACCTCAGGAACTAGACAAGCAAGATGCCGTACCTGGAGACCAGGAGGTAGCTGAGCAACCTCAAGAAGAAATGTCATCAAGTGTGTGTGTGAGTGATACAAATGGGCAATATAGTGTCAGTGATTCACCATGGTCTTCTTCTTCTTTAGGCCTAAATTTAAACTAAATTGGTATGACAATGAAAACTTTTCTGCAAGTTTTTATAATCCTGTAAAAAATACTGATTCTATTGGCAACCATACTACTTCCATTCCAATATGCCACCTAGGAGCTAGTAGGTTTAAAAAGCATGAAAAAAAAGTCAGTAAAGAAAAAATGTAGAAAATTTAAGGAAAATGATGTTATGATATTTTTAAGTGATTTAAGTAATGAATCGTGGTTTGATGTTTTTCAATCTTCTGTAGATGTAAAATATGATGTTTTTATTTTTATTTTTAGTTATTATTTTGATGTAAATTTTCCAAAAGTAATTAGTATGGAAAAAAAGTGCAATGATGGTAAATAGAATTCAGGTGAAATAGTAGAGAAAAAGTTTGAAATAACAGAACTTTAGAATTTATGTAGGAGAAGAAAAGATAATGCAATGAGTAAAATTATTAAAATAAAGAAAAAAGAATTTAAAGAATCAATTAACAAAGCGAAACAAACATTTTACGGCAAAAAGATAAAAAATGCCATTAATAAAACTAAAGTAACATGGAAAATTGTAAAAAAAGAAATAAAACTTAAGTCGAAAACAGTAGATCTAACTTCAAATAAAACCATTATTCAAAATGGTCAAACAGTAACACACCCACTGGCAGTGAGTAATATATTTAATAACTTTTTTACAACTGCAGTTGAAAAGCTTGTTTTGCCATATGTTTCACAACCATTAACAACAACAATAGGTACGGTAACACAGAAACCCTCAAAATCTTGCATTATTAAAAATTTTAAGTTTGAATCTATAACTGAAGACAATCTTGGAAAATTAATACTTTCTTTGGAAAATAAATATTCAACGGGGTATGATGAAATACCTATCACAATAATTAAAAGATCTATACCATATATTTTAAAACCATTAGCACATGTAATAAATTCTTATCTGATTTTGGGAATTTTTCCATCCAAATTAAAATTAGCCAAAGTTATTCCCATATTCAAAAAAGGAAACCCCACAGATCCATCATGCTATCGCCCAATATCTATTTTACCGGTTTTTTCAAAAATTTTTGAACGAGTTGTTTATATTCAGCTCTTTAATTACCTTGAAACGAATCAAGTGTTTGATAAGGAGCAACATGGGTTTAGACCAGGAAAATCTACAATAACAGCTGGTATAGATTTTATTGAATCAATTATAAATTCAGTAGATAATGGTGATAAAGTAATTGGAATATTTTTAGACCTTAGTAGAGCTTTTGACAGCGTTTCACATTGTAAACTATATTTTAAATATAAAAAAATTTAAAATATTTTAAATGAATTAGGAATAATAGGAAAAGAATTACGGTGGTTTACTTCATATTTAGAAAACAGAGAACAGTTTGTTGAAGTGGACTACGTAATAGAGAAAAGAAATACTAAATATATTGAAAACTTTAGATCTCAGCGGCAGACACTACGATATGGAGTACCCCAGGGATCAATCTTGGGGCCTCTTTTGTTCCTCTGTTACATTAAGGGGTTACCAGAGATGATCCCGGTCAGTGATGGATCTATGTGTCTGTATGCTGATGACTCTAATGTTTTGTTTTCAGGAAAATCCAATTTAATTATTGAAAAATCCTCAAACAGGAGTCTCCTCTCTATAAAAAAGTTTTTGGATGGAAGAAATCTGCTTATCAGCACAACAAAATCAAATCTAATATCCTTTTCAACTAAACAATCAATAACAGCATTTGAACCCAATATTTTTATAAAAACAGACAAAATTGATCAGGTAAACCAAACAAAGTTTCTGGGACTGGTTATTGATGAAAATCTATCTTGGGATAATCACATAAACTATGTAGTAAATAAATTATCATCTGGCATTCATGCCTTGCGGCTGATGTCCAAGGTTTGCAACTTGGAAACTCTTAGGATAATCTATTATTCTCTAATTCATTACCACATATCCTATGGAATCGCCATTTACGGAGCAACAACTAAGGCAAATTTGGATAAAATACTTATAAAACAAGAAAAAGCTATTAGAGTGATCATGAAATTAAAAAGAACAGATTCAGTTAAAAATATCTTTCCTGAATTGGGTGTATTAACAGTTTACAGTTTGTATATTTATGAGTCAATAATTTATGCAAAACAATTTCATTTATTATCCACTGCAAGTAAATATAACACACGCTTTCAAATTAACCTTCCTAGACATAATTTAGAATTCTATACCAAAAAACCTTCATATGCAGGCTTAAAATTTCTTCAAAAATTACCGATTTCACTTAAAAAAGAAAATAATACAAACAGATTCAAAAGCCTACTAAAAGACTTGTTGATAAGAAACCCATTTTATTCCATCAAAGAATTTTTAAATTGTAATCTCGAAACGACCATTTGAATTCCAGATACTACCTATAGTTTTACTCTGACGTAACCTTCTAAGATTTAGTGATTTTTTAAGTTATAGCACTCATTTTTTTTTTAGTTTTACTATATAAATCCTTTGTGAATGATTTTAATTATTTAGTTTATAATTTTTTTTTATGTTAGTTTAATGACGCTATTCAAGACATATTGTCTAAACTTTGTGAATAAAGAATATTTGATTGATTAATTGATTGATTGATGCTGTGCCGACGATCATGCCGTGACCACGAGTCATACCAACGATGACCCCGTAACTGCGAGTCATTTCGACCGTGAGTCACAAGTTTCTATAGGTACCTGTAAATTGTTACCCATTTTTTTGTTTTTATAGGTCAGTGCCATAAACGGTAAAAATTGATTTTCTTTATTGGTAACTGCAATACTCAAGACTTTCTTTTTATGCACAAGAAAAAATCCCGTCCCGTCCCGTCCCGAAAATTAGGAAAGAAATAAAAATCCCGTCCCGCCCCAAACTAAAAATTCAATCCCGTCCATCCCTAGTTTACATGGAGAGGTTCCGTTGCGATTATCTGTATAATCAACAAAATTAAACAGATTAATACAAATTAAATTAATCTGAAGGGATAAGAATTTAGATCACACCTCAAAGTTAGTGTAACAGCGGTCAGACATGTTCAAAGCAGGTGCTTGTTTTCACACGGGCCTACGAGGACTGTTTTCCATAGCAGCACAAACTCTATCGAATATTAGTTGTCTGGCGTCCGATTTTCTTTGGACGGCTTGTCAGCTTCATTTTGAACCCAGCAGAAGCCATTGGTCTAAAGTTTGTAACACAGCATATGATTGTGCTATTTGACAGATCCACACCGCCCTAATTAAAAGAATGCAGGGAACTGCCGCAGAGTTGCAATGAATGAATCAATACTTTTTTAATTCGATTCGATAACAAACAAACGTTGCTCAAGTGACACCTGCTCTATGACCACAGATAATGGCATAGTGTAGGCTATCCAAGAGCTACTCCACCACTCTCAGACGACCTGTTGCTGAACAGTACGCTGCATAAAATAGATCGGTTTTTTGCCGCACCCTGCACTTTAATCTGGTATAGTTTGTTTTCTGATCCGACTAATTTATTGCTGGTAGAGATGGTTACAAATTTATTGTAGTGTTAACATTAATGATTGAATGTATTGGAGCATTGTGGAAGGAACCTAACCTAAAAATTGTGCTTGTCTGTTTTTTTGCAGTATATAAGGTAATTCACCCCTGCTTTTTCCCTCCATTTGACAATACTCAGGGTCGGCTAGCAGTATTGTTTAGTGCTGCTATTTGTTGGGTTCTTGTAAAACTATGTACACAACGACTGGGACTCAGTATATGCCTCTCATTTGGATGAAACTAAATTTAAACGTTTTCGTGCACTCGTCCACGCAGCGCATTAGATGTTTGTGTCACTAGCAGAGGTCGGCCATCGCGCAGCCGCATTAAACATGTTAAAAGCGTAACTTTAGCACCAACCTAAAAGTGAGGAAATGTGTTATCATTGTGGTAGGCCTAAGACAAAAATGATCTCTTTGTTTTTGACAAAATTAAACAATATCAGGTATGCTTCTTTGACATGAAATGGTTCAACTTGGCTAGTTCCAACTGCTGCAACTGAGCTGTCATATCTACTTACAGTGTTTTGTGAACAGGTCTACAATACTAAGAGAAGGGCAAAAGAGAGGTTAAAAACCACTAGATTTCCCAATGTGTTAGTAGACCTACTATATAATTCTATTAAATACTACATATTTTTTTTAACCATTTATTCTTATTTATATTACTAATGTCCTAATGTGGTTTATTTAGGAACTGTACGCAGCTAGTTTTGCTGTATGAACAAGTATGTTTTTGTTATCATTTTTACTTTCTTGGAAATAAATAATATTCTGATTTAATTTAACTTTACTACTATCAAAACATACTTTTTCTTGTTAGGGCTGATCCCAAGTTGTGAGACAAGTCGAAGGGATCTTCGATTGCTATGCCTTTTGATATCCACAGTTTCTCAAACTTTGTTACAGTTCGACTGCACCTTATGCAGATGACATTGTTAAGCATGTCAAATTTCTCCGTGTAGAAAACAAGTAGGTCAAGCCAAAGTTCTCCCACGGATTGCAAGTTTTTGTTTCTGCCTTTCCAAACAGAGTCCTGAAAAACACCAAAGTTGTATGAAAGAGCAAATGTCAATGTACAAAAATTCAGTAGAGTCTTTCAGTCTTTATTGTCTGATATTCAGTTATCCGACCTTCCCTGTCGTGATTGAGTATTCTGAGATCACAAACTATTTCTGTCACCCCTAACTGTAATCAGAAGGTATGTACAGTAGACCCTCTCTTAACCGACCTCGTATTAACCGATAATCGGATTATCCGCCTTCGATCGTAAAATAATACAGTTTGTTTTAACCGACCTTGCTTTGAGAGCAGTTCGGTTTAACCGCCGCTCTCTAGGAATCTCGGCATTTCCGCTCCCACGCAGGGTGATGAGAACTGAACCATACGCTTATCATCTCCACAGGATAAGACTAAGAATAAGTTATTTTGTATTGATAAAAAAAAATAAAGCATAGCCTATTGTCAGTTTGTCATCATCGTTCGTAGCTGGAGCACATCTGATGTTATCTGTGTGGCAAATTTATAACATCATAAAATGCTAGGGGTCTGCGGGTCCCCGATTTTTTCGGGTCGGGTCGGGCCAGCGGAAGGCCCGAGAGACCGGGTCGGGTCAGAGATTTGTTCGGGCCAAGATCGGGTCGGGCCAAAAAAATAATTATTAGGCTATTTTTAAAGTTATAATAAGTAATTTTCAAAGAAACACTCTTATATACATTATTACAGAGGAATTAAAATGTTAAAATTAGAATTAAATATTAAGTTTGATCACGTTTAAGAACAAAGACACAACAGAGCAATTATTGCCTTACTGTCACTAGCCAGAGCCAGTCGTCTACTGACAAAACAAAAGCCGTGACGCAACAGTGCAAAGAAAACGAAGTCAAAAGAAAGACTATTTATCCAGAGGTACCAGTTTAATTATTTATTGTTTATTCCATACCTAGTTTAAATTATATTTTAGTATTTTATTTACATAATAAATTATAAACAAAAGAAATATCTGATATAGTGTACAGATCTGTATCTTGTTCTTTTATTTTCCTATTGTCCTTTTTGTCATTCAGTAACAAAACAAAACAACACTTCTGATCGTCTGGTTCGGCATTTTATGGTCACCATTTAATTTTTTTTTTAAGTATCAAGTATCAACAAGTCTACAAAGAAGTTAGGCCTAAATATTTTATAATTTTATGAAAGTTTTCATCAGTAAAATTATTTTTTTCTTAAGTTAGATTGAGTTTCAAAAAAGATATTTCTAAGATCCAATACAATATTTACAAGACACAAACTACCATGAATTAATTTCTTTGGAAATTATCTGTAACAGTTTTATATTTTTGAATAAAGAAAATATATCTTTTTGTCTCTACTTCCTTGTTTTGTTACTTGTATTTTGTGGAACAACCGGGTGGTGTAATAGGGGCGGGGGAGGGGGAGGGTCTATGACCTTGAGTGTCCCCGGGCCTGGCTCGGGTTGTGTAAGATGGGAGGGGAGGGGAGGGGGAGGGTCTGTAACCTTGAGTGTCCCCGGGCCCGGCTGTGAGAGTGATTCATGGTTTTTTGTTTACATTCTACTACCCTTCCTTCCGAGAAAAAGACCCTACAGTTTCAAAAACATTGAGTTGTGTTGCTAATTAGGGCACTATAATGTCTCTGCTGTCTGCTTATGTTGCCAAATTAGCATTTAACTTTCTTTTCTCTTGATTTAATATAATTTTCTATATATTAAGAGTTCCTTTTCGGGTACCTAATAATTGTGATATTGTTTGACTTGAGTTTATGGATTTTTAATTCTTTTCATTTATTAGCTAAAATCAGTTGTTTTAGGATTTTAATCTCTTGTAATACCTATAACTGTGCCTATAACTCTGTGTATGACATGATATGCAATTTTTACAGTCTTTACTATAACTATACCATAAAAAATGTGTGTGTGTTATTTATTGTTTTAGAGTTTTATAGTAAATTAGTTTACACAATATCTTTTCTTCAATGAGTTCTCCACTTGTCATGTTGCTTAGTCTATTACTATTTTAGGCCCTATAAAAAATAATTCCTATGTAAAGCTGTAGGCCTACTAATGCCAATAATAGATAATTCTTTATTTATGATGATGTAACTAATAATGCTATTGTAAGTGTGAGGTATTTGTACTTAGGAGGTTAGGAGGCAGGGAATGAATGATTCATATTGCATGGTGGAAACATAGAATTTTTATTTTCTTCTTGCTTGCAGTCTTGAAGCCAGTCCACAGGCCCTAAACTTGTGATAAGGTTAATTGATTTGTTTATGATCCATTTATATTAAGTTCCATTACAAACTTGTTGTAATATAGCTGTTTAGATATTTCAACAGTTATGAAAATGGGAAAGAATGGCTTGATAAAAAAAAAATATTTTCTTCTTTCTTGCAGTTGAGGCAACTCCTAAGCTGTAAATAAGTTATGAACATGAAATAATATACATAAATACAATCTTTTTCCATATGTTATTTTCAAGTAATATTATAAACACGGATAGGAGTTAAAAAAAGAAAAAAAATCCGGTAATTAATAATTTTTGGCCCGACCCGATTTTGGCCCGAAACCCGAGGACCAAAATTATCGACCCGACCCGACCCGAACCAAAAAAGTCTGACCCGCAGACCCCTATAAAATGCATTACGATTTTGAGAACTGATTATCTTATCGCTGGAGTAAACATACAACGCAACTTGTAGGGCGGGCAGGGAAGGGGGGTTACCAATTCCAAGGTCAAGATAGTTTGTGCCTTGAGCCTCCAGTGAGAGGCTATAAATAAATATCCTGTCTTGTAACAAAATGGTTGCTTGTATCTTTAATTTCGACAAAAGGTTCTGTACTGTATTACGATGGATTTGGAAAGCATCAATTAATACATTACAGTACTAAAGTTATTAAAATAGGAATTTTATTGACTCTTCCTAGTATTATAATATATTCCACTGAAAGTAGGCCTATTTGACTTAACCGTGTTTTGTGTTTATTTGTGACTTTTCTATCAATACGAAAAAGGAGATAAGAGTAGTTTATTTCATAAATAATGAAAGTATGACTTCAAAATAATGATTATATTCCAAATGAAAAACACTTCATTATGTTGTGATTTTAGGGATTGTCCATTTTAACCGTCCTTTTGAGCTATCCGACCTAGGTCCGGTCCCATTAGGGTCGGTTAAGAAGGGGTCTACTGTATAAAGCTTTAGGTGACTGCACTTGAGTATACTTTCCTTTTGTTTTCACAAACTGTATACCAACATAGATTAAAAATAGCGCACAGTCAACTCTTCACACCTGCATACCTCTCAGTTACCCTTCACATTTTAAGAGTTATTTACTATTTCAGTGGTGTTTCCTTTGCTTACAAAAATATTTCGAGTCAGATGTGCTTATTATCTAATTATTAAACATATATGAAATCATAATAATGAAAAATGATATGTCATTTTGATACGACATGTTTTTCCAAATAACATAGTAGGCTACTGTATTGGACCTAACCTAACCTAACTACTAGACCTAACCTAACTGGGGTAGGTATAGGCACTTGCATAGACAATATAACGGTTTCTATTCACTCTTCTCGAATTGTATCTGCTTTTGTTGAACACATGTTGGTATCAGATCATGACAGCGTTGTTTTTCAGTGCAAGTTCAAATCTACTTCTGTTCAAGACATTACAAAGCAGAATAAATACTCAAAAAATTTTAAAAAAGTTACAAGATCAATTGATGATATTAACAGTATTTATTTTGGGCTACTGCTTAGCAAAGTTAATTGGTTGGTATTATATTCTTTGTGTACTCTAGATGATAAGTTTGATTACTTTTTAAGTGTATTCTTAGGAATAGTGGACACTGCATTTCCAATTAAAAATTGTACAATGTTAAATAGTAGGCCTAGGAAACCCAGATGGTATACTGAAGAATTGAGTTTACTCAAAAAACAGTGTCTGTTCATTTATGAATTATTCAAGAATACAGGAGAAGCATATTTGAAAGATTCTTACAAAAAGCTTAAAGCAAGGTATCAAAAAGAGGTTAGGTCAGCTAAGTTGTCTTATAATTGTGAAAGGGTCATCAAAGCCAAGGACAAACCTAAGGCAATTTGGTCTGTGGTTAAAGAGAGTTTAAATAAAAATGATTTACCTATAATTGTTAAGGAAAAAGATGATCTCTCTTGCGATGGTTTTAATGACTTTTTTATTAGTAATGTTAGTGCCATTGCTCATGATATACCTCAATCAAAACATACAATAGATTATTACCTAAACAAATTGTGTAACAATAAGTTGTATAATAGGCCAAGCAATGAGTCATCAAAGTTTTCATTTCAATGTGTGTCTGTTGAAAATGTGCACAATGCAATCAATTCTCTAAGTAGTAGTGAAAGTCTAGATGTATATAACCTCAACTCTCGTATTATGAAGCTCGCTTCACCTTTTATCGCTGAAGTATTATGTTATCTGTTAAATCTGTGTATTGTGTTTTCTGTCGTACCTCAATGTCTTAAACTTTCTAAGGTTATTCCATTGTTTAAAAAGGGCTCCAAATCTGATTATGCCAACTATCGTCCGATAACAATCGTACCAGTGATCTCAAAGGTTTTAGAAATAGTGCTAAACAAGCAGGTATTGTATTACTTTGAGGACAATTCATTGTTCACCCCCAAACAATATGGTTTTAGGCCCAAGCGTGGAACGAAAGACGCCATTGTTAATTTTATGAAAGAAAGTACTTTCAATGTAGACAGTAGGAAAAAGGTTATTAACAGCTTTTATGATATGTCCAAGGCCTTTGATACTATAAACCATGATGTTTTGGCTAGAAAACTTGAGTTCTACGGTTTTGATAATCAGTCAGTTAGGTTAGTTATGTCATACTTGTCAGACAGATATCAATATGTATTTTTTAATGGTAGTTCCTCTCAGTATTTAAAGGTTGACACAGGTGTTCCTCAAGGTTCAATTTTTGGTCCAACAATGTTTATAATATATGTTAATGATTTACCA